AAAAAAAAAAAAAAGGGAAAAATTTAAAAAATTAAGAGTAAATAAAAAAAAATATTAAGAGACAAATGCAGGGAGACCCGCAAGCCAGCAGCCGAGCCTGCACCACTTCCAACTTTGATAAAAAATAAAAACACAGGGGCTCCGGTCCTCCCGCCGCCGCTCGCCGCCTCTCCCGCCGCCGCTCAGCCGCTCGGTCCCGCGGCGCGCTGCCGCCTGCTGCCCCGGCCGCCGCCGCCGCCGCCGCGCCTCATCCGCGGAGGAAAAATTAGCGATAATAAAAATAATAATAATTGTGGAGCGGAGGAGGGGGGTGGGGGGTGCAAGAGCAAAAACGAAGCGCCGGTGTCGGGGCGGGGTGTAGGCGGGCTCTCAGCAGCCGGTGTCCCGCGGAGGGCAGGGCGGTGAGGGGCGCCCCGCGGGGCTCCGGCCGGCAGCGCCTCGCCCCGCGCCGCCCCGCGCCGCCCCGCGCCCGCACATGCGGGGCCGCCGCGGCTGGGGGGCGCGTCCCGCCCTGCCCTGCCGCCCGCCCTGCGCCGCGCTACGCCCCGGCGGCCGCCGCCGCCGCGCCCGGGCACTTCCACTCGGGTTGTTGTCCTTTAGGTTTTAACGGGGCCCCCGCCGCTGACGTCGCGGGCCCGGGCGCTCCGACACGTGCCTCGGGCCAATGGCAGCCCGGGCGAGCGCACACGTGGTGCGGGGCGCCCCGGTAAGTGACAGCGCCCGCGCCCCTCCCCCGGACGGGCCCGGCCCGGCCCGGCCCGGCCGCCGCGGGATGCGCGGGGGCGGCCGCGGGTGCCTCGCCGCGGGGCGCGCACCGCCGCCCCCGCCCGCGGTGCCCCCCACCCCGCAGCGGCCATGAGTTACCGGGGCTTTCATCGTCCCCGTGTTTACCGGGGAGGGGGCCGGCATCCCACAATTCCTTGCAGAAACGCATAAATAATATTAAGCGAGCGGCGGCGATACAAAGGGGTCGGGGGGGGGAGGAACAGGCCCGGCCCGGTGCCCGCGGGCTGCTCGGGGGTTGCGTCCCCTCCCCGCAGCGCGGTTCGCCCGTAATTGACTCGTCCTTCCCGCAGCCGGACAGGAGCTTTTGATCTGCCCTGACCTGTCCCCAAACCGCGTCGCGGTGCCGCGCTGCCCCCCCAAAACGCCGGCCCGTCACCCTTCGGACCCCGCAAAAGCCCTTGCCTCCTTAGGACGGGAAAGCTGCCGCAGCTGCTTTGCTTGTCTTTAGGGACAAATACCCCGGAAAAAAATTAGGGAGCAAGGTGCGACTGGATGGAGGAAGGGTTAGGGGAGCTGAACAGGTTGCGGGGCTCGGATCCTCCGCGGGAAGCAGGAGAGGGGAGCGACAAGGCGGGGCCGCGTCCTGTCCCCGCGGCCGACCCGAGATCCTGTCCGGGCCCCGCACGGTGCCCGGTGCCCCCGCCCCGACGGGGCGCGCACCGAGGAGCTGCGCGACCCCGCCGAGGGCCGAGCGGGGTCGGGAGGTGCTGCCTCGGCCCCAGTGTCCGCCGCACCCCGACCGCCGGCTCTCCCCTAAGTGACGTTTTTGTTTGGAGGTGGCTTCCCTGCGGTGACACGCATCGCTCGCCACCTTGAAGGAAAGGGACAGTGAGCTTTTCCTCTCCTCTTCTTATTTTCCTTTTTCTTTCCTCCTTCTTTCCGTTTTTTTGCTTTCCTTTTTCTTATCCTTTTTTCTTTCCCGTTTTCTTTTCCTTTATTCTTTCATTTGTATTTAATTTTAAATTCATCTCCCTATTTTCTTTGTATTTCGCAGCGGGTTGGGTTCACCAGAGAAGACCAGCAGTGGCTGATCCAAAGTTGTTTTGCTCAAACAAGCACCCAGAGGTTAATTTCTTCAAGAGCCCCATGAAAAGCGATTAGCCTGTCTCCCAAGAAGTATTTTCTAATTACTTGGAAGCTCTCGCTCTACTACTACCCCATAATTAAACGTGTTCAAGGTGCTGCACTTCAAATATTTCGCTCCCGGGCGGACCCAAGTTACCGATAAAAACTTTAAACCTCCTTGAACCCCTCGTTACCTGCCCGCTCGCTGCCGGTACAGCGTTAACCTTCCCATTCGTTATCCCGCTCCTTCGCGGGGACATTTCTACCGTACGTAGGACAGGGAGGAGAATTCCTGAGGTAAACTCCGAAGTAGGAGATCAACAAAGCTGTACAAAACAATTACTGCATCTGCCTGTCCTCTGACAATAATCCAGCACCTCAGGTATGCAGAGGCAGCGGGGGGGCGGCGAGGGGTGAAGGAGTGATCTGATACCGAACCGAAGAAATCTGAACGGTCTATTTTTTTTTTTTTTTTCCCAAGGTTATTTTTATCTGGGAGCTCAATCTCTGTAGAAACATTCCCCAGCAGCACTATTGCTCGCCGGTCTGCAGTCGCCTCGCAAGCGGCATCGCAGCGTGCGGGGGCTTTTCCTCGGGAACCACTGTGGGTCACCGGGAGAGGTGGCTTGACAATGGGAGTTTGGCTTCGTTTCCTTCTTTGCTTCAGCCTCCCCTCGCAGACCTAGTGCCTGCAAATGTCACCTCTCCGCACACCAGCAATATTTCTTTTCCTTACGCCCTCCGCGTAGTTTAAACGAGGCTCATTCCATGCTGTCACTCTTTAAAAATTTTATTTGGTTTCCTTCCTTCAAAAAAGTGAGTGTGAGGGTGCAGCAAACCCTGCCCTTTGCTCGGCGCTTTTGGCACTGAGAACTTTAGAAAAGGGAGGACAGCCCGGGAGCTCGGCACGGGGAAGGAGGGAGGCAGACTGCGGCCGACCCCCGCCCGCCGGCGGGCAGCGGGCAGGCTCCGCGGCCGGGGCCGGGCTGCGGGCAGGCTCCTGGGCTGTTTGTGCCGCTCCTCCGAGCAAACCCTCCTTCCAGCTTTTCCCCACACTCGGGAGAAAGGAAACCAAAACAAAATAACAAACCCCGAGGTGCTGGGAAGCCAAAATGCCCAGGGCAATAGTGGAAGCCAAGGGAGGTGCTGCACCTCCCGTTCTCCCAGCGTGGAAGGATTGCTTGCAAAACGCAGGCATGCACCAAATTTCGCCGGGTTTACAGCGATTCATTCCCCCATTTCCAGCCAGTCCCTTCCCGTGCCGCCGGGGGAGGTCTGGCAGCGACCCCGTGGGCACAGCCTGGGCACATCGCCGTGACCCCCTCGTGCCTCCCGCTCACACTCGGCACCGCTTTTTTTTTCCAAGCGAAGCCTTTGAGGCAGCTTTGCCAGAGCGTTGGAGCTGCTGGCGGAGGATGGAGGAGAGGGGAGAGGTCGCTGCTCCTTTGCCAGCCTGGCCGTGCCGCAGGCGGTGTGCCCGGCGCTGCCCGGCCTTCCCTGGGTTCTCGCACCAATTTTGGAAGGGGAAAACCAGCAGCAACCCCCGCCTAGCCCTATCCAGGCTTTCCTGGAGCCGGCGGGCCGGAAGGGCTCAGCCAGCACGGCCGCATTTCCCCAGTGCCGCCGGGTTCTCACTGCACCGCCGACACAAGAATGAAAGCCACGGAACCTCCGGATTTTCCCAATTCCCCCCATGCCAGGCAGGATGAAGGGCGCTTCGCGGCCGCCGGGGTCCCACCCCGCAGCCTGCGGTGGGACGGACATCGCCCATCCATCCACTTCAAGCGGGAATACTTTCCCATCAACGGGGGCAAAGAGACGGGCTGGAAACCCTGGCTTCCACTTTCTTGCAAGATCATGAAAATTTCATGAGCTGCTCGTGGCGAGGGCAGAGCCCGCTGCTGCCTCCCCGGCCCGGCCCGAGACGGGGCTCCCCGCGGGACGGACGAGGGCACCGGTGCGGGGCACGGAGGATGCTCGAGAGGGAACGGATGAGGGTGAATGTCGGAGCCTCGACTCGGAAAAGTAGCGCTCGGTCACGGCTGCCGTTCGCAGCAAGGAGTGACGGGGAGCAGCCACCCCCCACCGCCTCCCCTTCCCACGGGAGGGAGGGTGCGCGGGTGGGGTGGGAGTGCCGGCCCCCGGCTCGCCCTGCCCCTGGCCCGGCCCTGTCCCTGGCTCGCCCTGCCCCTGGCCCTGTCCTCTCTCTGCCCCGTCCTTCCCCTGCCTCCCCCGGCCCCTCTTCTTGCCCTGCCCCTACCCACGAGGAGCAGCCCCCTCCCCTCCCGCCCGCCCGCTGGGACTGGGGACAGCCTTCCCGGGCCCAATCGAAAACTGTCAAACAGCAACAATAAAAACCTCCAATTTTGTCAAAGTTAGGTAGAAAGTAAGGGTAAACAACAGCCCAGAGCACAATA